TTTTAAAAATTTAATTAAACTATGTTTCAATTACAATTTTCTTCATTTTGTTAAACATTAATAGTAATCATACCTATACATTGTTTCCAAATTTCATTAAATTTTAATTTCCAAAATTTAATTAGATTTTAATCATACTCTGTTGCAATTTTTTTAAATTCAATACAAATCCACTTTAATTGTAATTATGATAATTTAATTACATTATAATCGTTTAAATTTAATAAAAGCCTAATTCCATTACAACTGTTTTAATTCAATTAAATTTTAATCTAATTGCGATTTTTATACAACTTTTTTCTCAGTTAAACAGTAATTGGATTATTAGACACATTCTCGTTTAAAAAATTTTTGATTACCGATTATAATTTCATCGTCCGATTATCACAGTAGTGATTCAAAATTTCGGAACCATGCACGACAAGTGTCAAATTACAGTAAGATAACGCTTCTTCGCTTAACATTGAGTATTACGCGATAAAGTTTTAATTATATGTAGATATATATATATATATTCATGCAAAAAAAGAGAAATAAATACATTGTGTATCTAAAAAGTAAGAATAAAATCAATATTATAAGGTCTCAACATAAGTAAATCTGTCAGGCCTGAACTTTCACCTACATCGTACAGTTTCTACATTAATTGAAGTTTGCTGGACGTAAAAACAACGAGCGAAAGAAACGTCCGAACGACCGAACGTAAGTAAAAAGCGTAATACATTGGTGAGACAATCCTAATACAAGAATAACATTTTTTGTTATAAAACTTTTACCAACACATTCGTGATATTTTCCTGTTTAAAAGGAGACCATGAACGACACAATTCAGAACATATTTGCTTATAATTTCAAGCGTTTATCGAAGCTTTACTGTAGTAAGATTCGCGGTAAACGGACGAGTAATGACATGTCGGATAACTTCGTTTGTCTTCGGTGGTATTCGGATAATCACGTGATATGTACGACAGTCGAAATCGTAGACTTCCATGACTGAAATATCTAAATGCGGTTAAAAAGAATGGTATATATTACAGTAAAGTCTCGCATAAGCCAATCTTTCGGATCTGAACTTTCGTTTATATCGTGTAGATCATTTTCATTTATATTAAGACATAGTGTATATGAAAACAGAGCATAAAACGGTGGTCAAATGCGTCCCGTTCGGACGTTACCATTCCGGGAGCGAGTATCCAGGAGAAGAAGAGAAAGAAAGAAAAAAGGAAAAGGAAAGTAAGAAGCAAGCGGTAACCCAAGAGGAAGACGTCAAGAAGGGAAAAGAGAAAGACACGCGTACACCTTCGAAGGTAATTTTAGTTGGCTGACAATTTGGCACCGTCTACGCCAAATAGAAAGCCACGCGCGTGGCTGCCTCGGAAGAGTACTGTAGCCGCTTAGGCGAACGAGAGAAGCAGAAAGGGAAAGAAGAGAGTGGAGATAATCTATTTGCTCCTTCCGTGGTGCAACGGTACAAGAAGGCCTATTTATATCGCGAAGAAGCCACGGTTTAATGAGTCTAGCTCCGCTGTCACCAGCGCTAAGACACGATCGTTCTAACTGTTAAACAAAAGGGAATCGAATTTACGACAAAGAAGACTCGACTCTAAGAACGATGTAGCACCGGCAAATGAGCCATTTGCTCTTAAATTAACCAAACAATTCATCGTATACAAACGGTATAGGCTGAATGTACTATAGGTATGAAACTTTCATTCATGTGATAGGATCTTGTTAGGTATCGAATAACTTTTCGGTGCTCGATCTTTTACGTATGTAGTAGAATATCAAGGATTACGTGATAGAAATGAGATTCAGTTTTCGATATGTTTACGTATGCATCTGGTTACGTTATACTTAATTTTAAATGTAAATGTGGATCTAACTTTCTGGTATATTGGTTAACTAACTATAAAAATAAAATTTTGAACGATAAATTATTAGAATATAGGAAGTAAGAGCATAAGGACTAAAGAGAACATAGAAAAAAGGGGTACTCTAGAGTAAGCCTAGAATAGTCTATGCAGACTTTAGGGAGAATCTGAGGACACTCTGCAATAAACTAGGATTGCTGGACGTAATGGATGGCTTTGAGTCTTCGTATTTTTGAATATAAACGTATCTTTAATGTTATCAGTATAATTTATAATAAAAAAAATGCCCAAATTTTATTATATAGTATCATTAGATCCAAATATCCCTAGATTACTTCTATGTCCCGATATCCGAACGTCACTAGATTCATATAGTCAGCGATGCTAATATCCCTACATTCCTATATCGCAACATTTCTCTATTTCTATGCCCCGTAGACCTTCCATCCCCCTAGATCACTAGAACGCTCTATCCCTTTACCTCCTAGTCTCTAAAGTCCTATATTCCTCGTTGCTACAGAATTAAACTGTTACGGTAAGAATTAAGCCGAACCAAAAACCAAAGTTTGCTTTTCTCTAATCTCGCTATGGTATGTGCAAAATGGAATAAACATTTGCACGATCCCCTATCTAAAGTCCAGTCCGCTAATCAGGCGGTAGCAGGTACAAATCAAGAACCAAGTGTACAGCAGTAGGAACAGAAGAAAATAAAGAAACCGGCGTTACCGGAGTTCCAATATTTGACAAACCGATAAGATGGCAAGATAAAAGAGTGCGATATCGGGCGTAGAAAGTGCACGTACGGGTTCAGTGAAGGTGATATGAATATCGAATTCATCGATTACCGATTACCGGCGTGCTACCGGTTCCGTGTGGTTCCCATGTAGTACATATGTGTATGCTTGTACACAGACGGACCGTTTTGCTCGTCGAAAGAAAAACGAGCCAGAGGAAGGCGGAGGGCGGAACAAGCCTCGAAGAAACGCACCGTCGCACCTGCTGCACCTTAACCGAGATCCCTTCCCCTTTTCATGTACGAGGTATCACGGATTTTATCCAACCAGTTAAAACCTCGATCGGTATCTTCGAACGTACCTCGTTTGACTTTCAACGCGTACCGCTGCCCGATTAACCCTTCTCGGTCGTAGTTCACATGGCCGACGATCTTTATGTAAAATCAACTGATGTTTCAGTTACTCGATAAACCGCAATACATACACGGAACTCGAAGAAAAGGGTGCGGTATCTCAAGGGTGAATACTAAGAGCGCTTTGAATAGAGTAAACTTCACTGATTTTGGTGTTGCAGTTACCTAGTTGCTAGTCAACCAGATTGAAATCATTGATTTCGTTAATTAAGTAATTAACGATTGAAAATATCTTTTCGTATCTTAAGTCGAATACGACGTAATCATGACACACACGTGTGTACATAAAAATCCCTATTCGAGCGTTACAGCCAACTAGTTTCTAATTGAAAGAAAAATGGCACCGACGATAGAGAGGCTGACGAACAAACCGAGCCGAAATGCGCAATCGACGGCAACAATCTTTTCTAAACGGCGTACCTGGTCGTACCGCTTACCGGCCACGATAACACGACAAGTATCTGATTAAATTTATGTAACGGCGTGTTACCATGTTACACCGGAATTACTTTTGATAACCTACTGTGATAATGTCATTGTATTAAAGTCACTGTCATTTGACAAGATTTTTCTGATGTGCACTGGCAACCGTACACAGCTAAACTCTGTTTTCTTTCTGGTGAAATAAACCATCATATCACCGCGCTGTTGCATGTGTACCAGACTCAGTTCTAAGAATCGTTCGTGTTCGTTTTCACTGTGTTTTTGTTAGCTAAGAGAAAAAGAATGTCAAGACGTTGGCAAAAAAGTAGTTGGGCAAACTATAGTGCTCCCCTGAACTATGCAGGGATTAGGGACACCTGTCTCCGTTGTTGGAAACCAACCATTGGCGTAACTAAGATATTTGTTAGAAAGGTGGAAGGGGGATGAGACTCAGCTACGCTTTATATCGCCATGTACTGTATGGAAACTTCTTGATTCGTCATATGTTGTATAATCACAACACAATATAAGGCTACGCGATATATTATCACAAGGTAGATCATCGACGCGCAATATTATCAAGCATTACATCGTTATACACAATATTTATACGCATTATATTGTCACAGGTTACATATTGTCAGGTGCTGTATTGGCACACGTTATATATCGCTACCTGCAATATATCACCACGCGCAATATGTCACGTGTTATATATTGCTACGCGTTATATCAGCAACGCGTTGTATATTGCCACGCGCGATATTTCCACCCGCTATATCGCCACCGGCTATATTACCGCTTGTACCACTATGTGCGACATTACTTCGCCTTGTATTACTACGTATTGTGCGATAACGCGTTACATTGTAACGCGTTATAAAAATCCACAAATAATTGCAAACCGCATTGTTCGAAGAACACTATATTTTGCCTGTATATTTGCCTTTTGAACAATTTAATATTCGCTGAAAAAGAACTAAAAACAATTGAACGATAATCGTCCAAGTCACCACAACGTGTGTCCCGACGGCAATAGTGCCGAGTCGCGGAAGAACGAGAAAAAACCAACCGTGCGATACCGCGTGTTACAAGACACTCATCACATACACACACATACTATACATACATGAACACAGCATTCATGTATACATGTACATACGTACACATACGCGGAAGGTAAACATGCAAGTGTACACTGACGAGCATGGTAGACTTTCCTAGGGAAAATGGCGACGTAGGGGAAGGTGGTTTCACCACAGGTTATTAACTTCCGATTTCTGATGTTAAATTTTCAATTTTTTGAATCTTCAGATGTTGAAATATAGAGGTTTGTAAACTTGAGAATTTGAGCATTTGTAATTTGAGTAATTTGAAATTTAGAAATTGAAGGATTCGAAAGTTCGAATGTTTTCAAGTTCACACATTGCATTTATTCCTAAAACCATTTTTAAGTGATAGGAGGTACCTTCCCCTACGGTTATCTTAACCAAAGAGAGCCTATATTGCACGAAAGTGTACATATATCCCGCAAGCACCCGATTAAAAGAGAAACTCACTCCAGAAATAATGCACAGTATCCATCCAAGTCGCGGTGGTGGAGGTAAGGTTCGCTTGTCCTGGATTATCAAGACGCGAGGTAAAGAGCGCGACAAAGCTACAGCGTCGCGTTCAATTTCCTCGAACGTTTAATCGTGGTGGTTGTCGTCGTTGTGATCGCGGTCGCCGTCGTCTTACGACGACGACAACACTTTCGACTCCGACTGCTCGTCGTCAAAATATCCGTAACAGTTTATCTCCGCACTATGTAAGGGCACTCACTGGCCGAGCATCGAAAACGCTCCGCGTTTCGCGATAAACACCGCGTACATTCCCTCCGGGAATATGTATATTTTCGCGCCGAGCTTTTCCCGCGTTTAGTTTCGTTGACGCACACGCGGCGAAGGTAACGCGGATAGAGCGAGACGGAGAGAAACGCACACACGCGACAAAGAGCGGGAGAAACGGAGCGAGAAAGAAAGGAGAGAGAAAAAGAGAGATAGAGACAATGGAGAATGACAGGAAAGGAGAAAGACACGTAGACCGCACGTTACGTTGGGAGCAATGGAATATGTGCGAACACTTCGCTTGGTCCCGCCTAGGGGAAAGAAAATCCGTCGCTACCACCACCACTGCTCCACCTCCAGACTCGTACAAAACTACGCGCGATATATGTACGTGTGCGTGTTCGCGCGCGCACAGTTTTCAAAACATGACACACCGGGGTGCACACCGTGAGCCGGTAATATACTCGTATCCTTGCAGCTCGTTACACGCCGTTTTCTTTTCTGCGCTCGTTAAAATACGATTGTTTAACTCGCGCGGTTTTTCCGCACGCACACGCCGCCGCGGATCAATAATTCACCATATACGAATTCACCAGAAGCGGCTGAGCGAGCGGGCTGGCACGCAGACACTAGACAGAGGCACACGTTTCTGTCGTGGCGCGCTCTTCTCGGGGAAACGCACGCAGCCCACCACCACCGGCACCACGATCGCGCCTCGTCCTAACCTCCTCGCAGTGCTGTCGAGCCGTACACGTTGCCAGAGAGACTGCACACGCTTCGTACATAACACGCACACATACACAGACATGAAGCTTGCGTTCTCTTGACACACAGCTGACACAACCGCTCGTAAACACGCGACCATCGGACAAAGACGGATGCACCGCCAAACCGCACGCTACGGCACGACTGAGAACCTCTCTCCGTTTATCAAACCGATCCGATTATCATTTTATCTCTCTCTCCCTCTCTCTCTGCTTTCAATCATTCTCTCTCTCGCACAGACACATACACACTCTCGCAACATGCTCCCTCTCTCTCTTGACGAGTAGCATCGTCAAAATATCCGTAACAGTTTATCTCCGCACTATGTAAGGGCACTCACTGGCCGAGCATCGAAAACGCTCCGCGTTTCGCGATAAACACCGCGTACATTCCCTCCGGGAATATGTATATTTTCGCGCCGAGCTTTTCCCGCGTTTAGTTTCGTTGACGCACACGCGGCGAAGGTAACGCGGATAGAGCGAGACGGAGAGAAACGCACACACGCGACAAAGAGCGGGAGAAACGGAGCGAGAAAGAAAGGAGAGAGAAAAAGAGAGATAGAGACAATGGAGAATGACAGGAAAGGAGAAAGACACGTAGACCGCACGTTACGTTGGGAGCAATGGAATATGTGCGAACACTTCGCTTGGTCCCGCCTAGGGGAAAGAAAATCCGTCGCTACCACCACCACTGCTCCACCTCCAGACTCGTACAAAACTACGCGCGATATATGTACGTGTGCGTGTTCGCGCGCGCACAGTTTTCAAAACATGACACACCGGGGTGCACACCGTGAGCCGGTAATATACTCGTATCCTTGCAGCTCGTTACACGCCGTTTTCTTTTCTGCGCTCGTTAAAATACGATTGTTTAACTCGCGCGGTTTTTCCGCACGCACACGCCGCCGCGGATCAATAATTCACCATATACGAATTCACCAGAAGCGGCTGAGCGAGCGGGCTGGCACGCAGACACTAGACAGAGGCACACGTTTCTGTCGTGGCGCGCTCTTCTCGGGGAAACGCACGCAGCCCACCACCACCGGCACCACGATCGCGCCTCGTCCTAACCTCCTCGCAGTGCTGTCGAGCCGTACACGTTGCCAGAGAGACTGCACACGCTTCGTACATAACACGCACACATACACAGACATGAAGCTTGCGTTCTCTTGACACACAGCTGACACAACCGCTCGTAAACACGCGACCATCGGACAAAGACGGATGCACCGCCAAACCGCACGCTACGGCACGACTGAGAACCTCTCTCCGTTTATCAAACCGATCCGATTATCATTTTATCTCTCTCTCCCTCTCTCTCTGCTTTCAATCATTCTCTCTCTCGCACAGACACATACACACTCTCGCAACATGCTCCCTCTCTCTCTTGACGAGTAGCAGCAACACCGGGGCCAGCAATGCGAACATCACGGTCACCGGAAGTATGAACCTGACAATCACACGACACACACGGGGAATACACATGCACGTTCCACGCACTTCCTCGTACATAAATATTTGCCTTTTTATCGCACGGTTGGTCTCGTTTCATTCGCACCGACGCGACGTCTATCGCTTCCACCGGGGCTGTCGCTCTCTTTCGTTCGTCTGTCCGTCTGTCCGTGGCCGACGGTTGTGTGTATATCGCCGTCGTCGCTACTGTCGAATCCGTTCGGTGCGCGGCGCCTGTGTGGGACGACGCCGCTGGGACACACGGGCGTGGACGGAGTAGACGCGCTCTTTCGAGGACATTTCGACACTGTTTTCTTTAATGTACTTACCACTGGGCCGAGCTGACGTGGCGTCGCGCGCGCGCGGGGCCTCTACACCACGGGCAAAATTCGCACGGTAATATTAGCGCGCAAGACTGCACCCCGGTAAATACGAGCGCAGTCACCACTCTTGTTTTTGGTATGCCAGGAATGGCACAAAGAATCTGGATAACGCACACGCCTGCTGCGCAGCCGGTCTGCGCACACGCTGACACCGCTTATGCGGCCGCGGGAGAAACCAGAAGCCGAACGCCAACGGAACTGGTCGAACACGACCGATCGTCTTACCCCTACTACTTTGTGACGGACCAACGTCTCCCCACTCCCCGCGCCGACAGATCAGTCGCGTCACGCACGTAAGAGAGATTGGGTGGTGTTGCTCGCTTTTGCTCGTTTATTCCTCTCTCGCTCGAGTTAGAGGGGCACTTGTTGAATTTCAGGGGTTACGTTTTAGGTTTTTTGAATGAAACTTTTAATATATGGTTACGCACCGACCGACCGACCGCAAAACTTCCTTTCACGCGATCCGATATCACGTGTATCGTTACTTTTATTTATTTTAAGGTGGTTGCAGAGCAAACATACTTTAGTACATTTTTTTTTAATTTAACTGGATGCAGATGATAACGCTAGATGATTCTTGAGCACTAGTGAAATTATAGAAAGGTTAAGGATAACAGAACGGAGATGACTGTATTTAATATTATCTAATATTGCTCATAGTTTTCATTACAGTATAAACTAAATCATGAAATTTATATATTTCAAAATATTTCAAAGCATTATTTTCAGCGATTGAATTGATGCTACAGTAGAAACTTTGTAATTTAACTACACGGGATTTATAAAGATTTATATCTATACAATTAATTTTAAAGTTTACATATTAAATATTACGTATTTACATTATACAAACGCTAATGGAAATATCGTACAGTACCTGCCGTGTTATTTATATATTTACTTCTATTTTATGTACTTTCTTTATAATTCACAATGAAGGAGTTAATAAAGTTTAGGATAGCATAAATTAATTACGTGTACATATATACCTTTTCATAAGTAAACTGACCATTTGTGTACGGGCTTACCGGATTGAAGGGATTAGCCGACGGTAACAAAACGTAAACGGCCTAGTGCAAGTGCGCTACTATAAGATTATGCTTTATTCTTTGAAATATGAGGTCTCATCCTTAATATCCTTCCACACGATTTTCTTTTATACTTGCGGTTGTGCTATTTTATTTAAACCTATTCACTCTGGTTTTACGCCTTTCTTAATATTGATTATGGGATTTTGAAGCTTCGTATTAGTAGCTCCAGCACGAATTATTACATTTAAGCGGTAATTGAAAGTACAAAAGGTGTCATATAAATTTTGGTTAGAAATCTTAAAATAATAACACCCATAAAGTAATAATACAATTTCAGATTTATGGGAGGTGGTGTATGTTACACTATGTTTTTAGTAACTTAAAAGTCTTATTTCTATTTTATTTATGGATATGATTTCTTGTGATTATTTGCCGCTTTGTATTATGTAGTAGTTAATGTGATGTATTTATTGTTACATAATATTTATTACTATTTACTAACATTATTATTATCATGTAATAATAAATACATATTGTGTATATGTAGTAGCTTATATTGAAGATTATGATTAATAATAACAAGTAAGTACACGTGCAGTTTGCAAAGTTCAATTTTTGTATGAAACTTTACTATAAAAATAATTCTATCACAAAGAAATATTTAGTACTAAATTTAATTATTTTAGAAACGGCTGTTACATGAAATGATGCATCTACAAAATTATTTATTGAGAAAAGTGTTATAGTAGAAAATAAATTTTATAACGTCCATTTATTGCAATAAACTAACATTTAATTTCAAGTAAATTAACGTCTAACCATGAGGAAATATAGCCAATTTAAAAGACCTATGTAATCGTATTCAAATAACTTTTATATCTGCCCGAAAACAATCACAGTCGCGTACGAGCGTTTATCGACAAAAGCGAAATTAAATGTCACGTGTCAGAACGATACTCGAAAGCACACGTTTCGCAGATCGACAAAAGGGGTCGTAAATGATGCTTTTAAACTGGCACGTTGTACTGCAAAGCTCCTTTTGTCGGTCGAGCACATTGTGCTCGGCAAATGTTTACAAACGGCCGCAAAGTAGCGAAACGATCAGGGTGACAGAGCCGTCGCGTCGAGTCGCGTCGCGACGCCTCCAATGTCGACACCGACGGGGGTTGAAACGCGCAGTTTTCGTGCAGGTTTTCAGCGAACGCTGACAGATTGAATGGGGGAAAGGCACGGTCCGATTTCACCCGCGAGGTTTAATTACTTAATTACGTTAACGCTCGATTTTCGTGACGTGTCGACGAGCCACGCGGGCTAAACGATTCAGTTTCATGGAAATTTCCTACGTGCTCTTCACCCTCCATTTAAATATGATTGTGTCACAATGCATCTACTCTTCTTTTTTTCTATTTGAAGTTCGAACTAACATCGTTACACATCGTTTTCTTTTCAAAAATTATATGATTTCTTTTCTGGCATTTTTGTGTTTAAACGAATATGATATATTAATCACTCGATTTCAATGTTCCGTCTACGATATTCACATGAAGTTTATAACCATCTTTGAATACTATAAAAAATTGTAATATTAAATTTTAATGCTTTTAAAGCTAAAGCACTTTTGGTTATTCTCTTAGCAATTATTAATGTTAATTATTCGGTAATTTATGCTGTTTAAAAATTTTTGTTTATAAATTCCTTTTAATATGTTTTTACATTTTTGCTTATGGGCTTTTTTCAATTTTTACATGTATCACAGATTTCTTGCAATTTGCGTTTACATTTTCATTTATGGACTTTTTGTAGTTTGACTTTATAGATTTTTTATGGATTTGTTTCAATTTATCTTAAAATCTTTTTACGGGTTTTATTGAATTTTTCTTTACATTTTGGTGTATGGAATTTTTTCAATTTGTCTGTATATTTTCATTTATGGATTTCTTTTGATTATTGATTAGAATAAATGTTAAATTAATTTCGGACATGGATTTACAGAATAATAAAATTATATTAAAAGTATTCAATAGTTACATGATATTAAAGAAATGCACACGTGTATTTATCTTTACATACATTTTGTTTAATAAGAATAATTTTTAATACAACTACGCCTACTTGAAAAAGCAAAAAGACATCTGATGTTTTATATGAATATGAAAATATGTATGCGTGAGTATAATAAAATATTGATTTAGAAAATGCTATACAACAATGCACTTTTTATTTAATCGTATTTAACAGTTCTCTCGAGTGTAGTATGCAAGTTCATCGACTTCGCCGATAGATTATGGCTGACTATTGCGAGAATTTTGCAACGTTGTCAAATTTTGTGGCTTCATAACTAGAAAATTAGTGCACTATTTGACTTCTATCCTGCGAACAAATTTTATTCTTCAATCCATTTTTAATCGTCAAATAATTATAACTATAAATAAAGATAATAAAAAATATTACTATTAAATATTAAATATTACTATTTTTTTATATTACTATAAAAAAAATTACTTATAAATAAAATTACAAATCTAAATCTTAAGATAATTATAAAATTAAACATAATAGTTATTATACTTATATTTAAATTTACTTTAAAAATTTGCTATATTTAAATACTTATATTTACTGAAAATCTAAATTTTATAGATATAAATGTAAATGTATTTGTAAATATAAGTGGTAAAATAATTATAAAATAATTTTTTAATGCATGGTACAAATGACTAGGTAATTTCAAAAAATAACAATCATGCAAATTAATTATAAAAACATATTACATTGCAATGTTATTAAGTATAAACTAGGGCAGACGAGAAATGATCATTTCAGAAGTTACATCTATTGTTTCAACATTGTTTGAAACTGCGCTACAGTCAATTCCAGTTCTAGCTAGAAATTGTAACATCCTAACACAATGGCTAAATTGTATTCGGATATCGCGTTTGTAGAACGAACCTTCGGTCAAATTATTGCCTAAGTCGTAACCTTTCAAACCTACTGTAACATACCAGAATATATCCTTACATTTCCACATACGATTTGCATAAATATATTTTTCTAATTAGATATGCAAACTTTTGTAATCTGTGATATCACAAAAAGTTACTGTTCGGAAAAAATTAAGAAAGAATATGAAACTTAATTAAAGTTAGTAATAATTATAAAAAGCTATAAGATATTTAGTTGAAATTAAACATTTCATATTTTTTTTATATTTTATTTCATTTCACATAGACATTTATGTCTATTGAGATTTATTTAACCAGGATAGTATAAAAAAATATTTAGACAAATAATTAGATGTGTACTACATATTTAATGAAAATAAAAGTATTATATGTATTGTCAAATACTATAGAAAATATGATCTTTGGTTAAATGTCAAAGTACTATTATTTTAACTAGAATAGTGATATTTATACAGAATTAATTATAATTAATCTTTGGCTATGATTGCATAAATAATTGTAGTACAGATTATAAAAAATAATTAATTATTATTATTATTATTAAAGCAAAAGTATTATATATATTGTCAAATACTATAGAAAATATGATTAATGATCGTCGATTAAATATCTAACAATTATTATTTTAACTAAAATACTGATATTTATATATAATTAATTACAATTAACCTTTGGCTATGATTGTATAAATGACTGTAGTACAGATTATAAAAAATAATTAGTTACAATTATATAAATAATTATATTAGTACAAGAAAATTATTATCAACCATCAACAAATAAATGTAGTTAAAATACCTTTATATAAGTTTGTATTTACTGTTAGAAAAGCTTTGTGTGATAAATCAATGATCATTGTTACGAATAAGTAAAAGCATGAAATATTCTCGGCAATAATTCTCGTTCGTACTATTCGAGTGACTATTTTGCCAAGGGGTATTTTTATTGCGAGTTTTACGACGCTTCCTTCCGCCTCCTTCTCATCGATTCGGTTATTTTAAAAAAGGGGTGAAAGCGTTCGATCCATCCGACGGCGAACCTTCGCATCACCTCATAAACTTTGAAAACATTTCTTATAACCGGCGGATATTTTGCGGGGGTGAGATTCCTGGCAAGGCTTATCACGGCAGAGATTTACTTGCTCGAACGACAACCTACAAAAGTATTAAAATATCGCGCGAATGGCGCATTCTCGTACCGTCTATAGAGCAGGGGTGGTTTCGTGAGACATCACATTTTTTTCTTCCTCTTTGAAGCATACTTCTCGGGGCGCAGAATCCTTTTACGTTAAACATTTTTGTACACATTTTAATAGCGGAATGGGAAAAGAAGTTTCAAATGATTTAAGCAAGGGGTTGTAATAAAAGAATAATACCATAACCAACCGTATTTATTGCTTTTATTAACTTGTTATGCTTATTCGTTTTTATTTATGTTTGCGTTGTACATGTTAAGTGTACTCATAAATTTGAAGATTTGTGAATTTCAAAATTTCAAAATTTAAAAACTTAGGAATTTGAGGATTTGGCAGTATGGAAATTTAAAAAATTGAACATTTAATTATTAATTTTTAGAAATTTGAGAATTTAGGAATTTGGAGATTCAGAAATATGAGAGTTATATACATCTTAAAATTTGGGTTTTACGTTTTAAGAATTTGAAAATTTGGACATTTAAAGTCTTAAGGATTTAAAAATTTAAGAATTCGGGATTTAGAAATTTAAGAATCTGGAAATTTGTGAATTTGGGGTTTTACGAATTTGCACATTTGGAGAGTTGAAAATTTAGTGATTCGGAAATTTGGCAATTTAGTTATTAGAACTTTTAGGAATTTAAAGATTTGGGAACTTGGGAATTTATAGATTTAAAATTTTGGGAATTATGAGGATTTTGAAGATTTGGAAATTTAGAAAAGGAACTTAGGAGTTGGAAATTTGTGATTAAAAGGATTTAAAAATTTAAGGATACCCATCGTCGGAAATTTGAGAATTTGGGGATTTAAGGATTTGAAATTTAGAGATTTGAGGATTTTTAAATTTCGGGATTTTTGGATTCGGGAATTTGAGAATTTTTAAATTTCAAGATTTTAGGATTTGAGACTTTGAGAATTATAAAAATTTGAAATTTGAAAATTTAATGATTTGAAACATTGAAAATTTAGAAGTTTAAAAATTTGAAATTCTGTAAATTTAAAATTCATGAATTTGCAAATTCGAAAATTAAGGAATTTCCGGATTTAAAAGCTCGAGTGTTTAAAAATTTGAAAATGCAGTAATTTACAGATTTGAGAGTTAGAAAATATAAAAAACTGAAATGTGTATAAAATTGAAAATGTAAAAGTTACAAATTTTTTAAATTCATGAATGAATAGAGTTGAAAAATTGCAAATTTCACTTTTTTCACTCCTCAAATTTAACAGCCCTTCGTAACCCTCCCCAAAAGTTACGCCACGGAAAGTTGAAACAATTTCGAACAATTTAATTTCAACACCTATGTATTCAACCAAATTACATATTCCACATCCCCCTTATCGGATACACTTGACCCCTTGACCTATGATTTTTTCAGTAGTTGCATTAGCCACTAGTAACTAATTATTGCTGCAATGTTAAGACAAAGAAAGAAAGTAATCAGTATATTTTACATATGAAGATCCTTGATTATGCAAATTGTGAGTAGTATTAAGCTCTAACCTCGGTCACGGTGCAAATACGATTTAAGTTTATTGTGTCTGAACTGTAATGTGAGGAGTGACACGATATTATAAGTCAGAGGGTTAACATTAACGCGTTGACTGCCCTACTCACAAGGGACTTTACCAAGATGTTACACGCCGATTTTAATGAAATTGACATATGTGGTGCTTTTTAAAAATCATTTGACACGTATTTTTTTATATCTGCGGACATCCATGTTGAGGGGGTGAAAATAGTCCTCAAAGTTCGGGGTTGAAAACACATTTTCCTTAATATCTCGCAAACTAGAGGGTGTAGGAAGGTGAATTTTTTTAAATTGTGTAGTTTTTAGTCAGGAATTTAGTAAGTGTCCAAAATTTCGGGAGAAATTATTTATTTAAATAATATATTAAAGAAATGAAAACATTTACTTAAATAAACAGGCATTTAAACGAATATCCTTTTTGATCAATTCTTCACCCTAAATGCAGTTCGATTTTTTTGCAACTTTTTATACTAAAAATATAGATCAAAATAGGGGATACGTGTTTTTGGAATTTTTTGTTTATTGCAATTTAGCAATAATTATTACATATACAATTTTCTTCTACTTTTTACAGAGAAGTGAGTTGAGATCTGTTTTCGAAAAGGGTCAGCCCTTTTTATGCGATAATCTGTTACGTTTTTAACAATTAGACAATATCAGATGTTTAATCTAGAATTTATCGTTTCATGTAATAGCAACTGTAAACAGCTGAATATCGATAAATGTTTCAATATTTTGAAATAGCTATCTTAATGAATACAGGATGTTACCTCTAACGCGACGAAAAATTGTTCATCCTCTTCCAACCATCTGAACAAGAACGTATATAGTAGATATCACTAATAAAAATTTTGAAAACTGTTTTCTTGACGAAATCGTGATTACCGATTTTACAAATAGGGACACATTTGTCCCTGTACCATATTGTAAACATCGAGGCTAATTCAAAACATATATTATTGAATATTTTTATTGATTGGAAGATATCATTAATATGTTAATATATTATTTTTGTCACGGAAGGCAGAATGTATTTAGAACTAGTAATTGAATAAAGTACATTTTTCTTATACCGGTATTGTCTACAGTATCTTACATTCAAAAACAGTAAAAAACCAAATATTTCATATTTACGCTGCTGTAAATCGAGTAATATGTCAGTAAAAATATCATGTAACAAACTTTTCGAATTCATCACAACATTCTTTTCAATATCATAAAAAAATGTGTTTCCACTTGTAAAATTCAAGGTGACCCATTTTCACCATAAAAACAAATTGAACAATGTTCCTTACTGATATCCACTGCACATTCTACACTCTGCAATTATTGTGCTAAATAATTTTCGTCAGATAGTTCAAGTGAAGAAAGAACATCCTTTTTCGAAATCCGTTAAAAAATCGCTTTACAACACCCCGTAGAATGATGTACGACTGACACGCGAATATCGCATATATTGACGGTTTCGTGCGAAGGTGTTCCACAATTAACCAGTTAAGTGTGTTTGACGACTATATCCATCATGGAAATGTGGCGAAATTTTGTGTCATGACGACTATATCCGTCATGCGTAAAATTTTGCTAAAATTTGTTACTTAAATTGTAATTTTGGCGAAAACTAAATTATATTCGTAAATTGTAATATGTTCAAAATGTTTAGAGGTCAACACGAAATGAAATAAATAAATAAAAAGTGTAAATGATTTGAGATGGATTCATGAATTCTTGAGAGCTAATTCGTCATCGCTTGATTCTCGCGACACACACTGGTGCGCACTTTGCAAAAAGATCGCCACAGTTAACTGGTTAAATAGTGAAACAACAGTAACAACAAATAAACGGATAAGTGAAATTCTGGAAGATCGTTCTCAGCAGGTTGAAATCCGGGCAAGAGTGTTCTGTCGCATAAAGACGCGAAACATGGAAATACCGATACCGCATCTGATTCCGTTCGAACAAACGAGGGTGCAGGGGGTGAAATGTGGGGGTCGAAGAAGACGTAGGAAGGCGCAAGGGTAGCATGGAGAGGCGCGTAGCTCACCTGGCATACCGTGAGAGTATCGCGACACATTTTGATCGAATTCTTCTCGAGGTCGAGGAATGCTGGTATCTCCGGTAGATATTATTACATATTTAGGTGGAACGGTGCTCGCTCTCGCAGATAATACACTTGGACGTTGTTCGCCGTCTCTGTCGGTGTTGCTGTCGGTACGAGGATGGGGTGTTGGTGGTGGTGCACGGGGATATGTATCTAGCTTTACTCGCTCGCGCACCACCGCTCTATAACCCTGCCTCTGCACCGATCTCGAAGGATCGCAGTTCTGCGCGATATCCTGCATATCTCGGCATACCGTCCTCCTCGTTTCCGACATTGTTCCCCGGCCTCGGCCCCGACCCCTCTGTCCCAGCTACAGCCCCGATCCACCATCGAATAATCCTACTCGTTCGACGTCTACCGGGCCCGGCTTCTCAGCTGGATTCCTCTCGATTCTGCTACCGTGCTTGCAGCGGGAGAACAACCCCTTACTGTTCGTAATTGACCGCTTTTTACACCGCTGCCATTCGTTTTAACACTTTAACTGCCACCCACGTACGAGCCGTTTATTTTCAAAATGGGACAAGTACATTTTTGAAAAAGATGAAGATAACGATAGATAAAATCTCGTACGATATTTTTATTCGTAAGTACTCTGGAATAAAAGTAATTGAATAATAGTCGAGTGATGATTTGAATGATTAACGGTGTTGAAATGATGTTTATTTTGAAAATAGTATAAGTCTTCCTAAATTTAAATTTTTATATGAAATATTGTGGAAATATTTGGTGAGATTTGTTGAAAATAAAAATTCTACCCAATCAAAGTTTCTACTGCTTTATGTGGCTTTCAACGTACAACAGTAACAACAAATAAACGGATAAGTGAAATTCTGGAAGATCGTTCTCAGCAGGTTGAAATCCGGGCAAGAGTGTTCTGTCGCATAAAGACGCGAAACATGGAAATACCGATACCGCATCTGATTCCGTTCGAACAAACGAGGGTGCAGGGGGTGAAATGTGGGGGTCGAAGAAGACGTAGGAAGGCGCAAGGGTAGCATGGAGAGGCGCGTAGCTCACCTGGCATACCGTGAGAGTATCGCGACACATTTTGATCGAATTCTTCTCGAGGTCGAGGAATGCTGGTATCTCCGGTAGATATTATTACATATTTAGGTGGAACGGTGCTCGCTCTCGCAGATAATACACTTGGACGTTGTTCGCCGTCTCTGTCGGTGTTGCTGTCGGTACGAGGATGGGGTGTTGGTGGTGGTGCACGGGGATATGTATCTAGCTTTACTCGCTCGCGCACCACCGCTCTATAACCCTGCCTCTGCACCGATCTCGAAGGATCGCAGTTCTGCGCGATATCCTGCATATCTCGGCATACCGTCCTCCTCGTTTCCGACATTGTTCCCCGGCCTCGGCCCCGACCCCTCTGTCCCAGCTACAGCCCCGATCCACCATCGAATAATCCTACTCGTTCGACGTCTACCGGGCCCGGCTTCTCAGCTGGATTCCTCTCGATTCTGCTACCGTGCTTGCAGCGGGAGAACAACCCCTTACTGTTCGTAATTGACCGCTTTTTACACCGCTGCCATTCGTTTTAACACTTTAACTGCCACCCACGTACGAGCCGTTTATTTTCAAAATGGGACAAGTACATTTTTGAAAAAGATGAAGATAACGATAGATAAAATCTCGTACGATATTTTTATTCGTAAGTACTCTGGAATAAAAGTAATTGAATAATAGTCGAGTGATGATTTGAATGATTAACGGTGTTGAAATGATGTTTATTTTGAAAATAGTATAAGTCTTCCTAAATTTAAATTTTTATATGAAATATTGTGGAAATATTTGGTGAGATTTGTTGAAAATAAAAATTCTACCCAATCAAAGTTTCTACTGCTTTATGTGGCTTTCAACGTGTTAACCTTTTCGATCGATGGTCTGACTACGTTAGTAGTATGGTCTACCAAGTTGACATTTTTATTCTCCAACCGCTAAAGGTTACCTTACCACTGAAAATTTTTTAATTTTTTTCGTAAGATATAATTTTTACAGAAGAGTAAATTTGTGCAATTTTTTTAGAAACGGATCCACTTTTTTGAAAATGAAAAGTTGATTAATTTTTTGTTTATTCTTACTATTGTTTAATTCTGAAAGAGTCGTCTGATTTATTCACAAGTTCTGTTTTTTGAGTTACGTTTGTTAGATACTTTTTTGAAATATGTGTTGGTTTTTATTGAGATAAAATACTAATGTATTGACTTATGTATTGTCGTTTCTTTATTTAGTTTTAATTTCTAATTATGTATATTATATTCGGCAGATTTAGTATTAATGGGAATTGTTTACTACATAACCCTTCCGCTTTTTTGCATACAGTTGTTCGTCTACGAAATCATAAACAAAATCTCTATAATTTACTCTTCTTTCATCTAACTATAGTTTATTCTTTAAAATTATTAAATTAATAAATTTCATGAAAGTGGAGAAAGTAGTTGAATAAAAAATTGCAATTTTCAGATTTATTGTACAAGTGATATATCGACGTAATTGTATCGATAATACCAATGCAAGAAGATCGATTTTATAATGTTCATACTCACAATTCATACAAAGTTCATACTTTTATCGTTATTATTCACACAATTATAGTCATTCAATACCGATATAAACTGGAAAAAAATTGTTTATGCAAGATTCTTATATACATTTTCAAGGACTCGTTATAAAAGAAACTATCGTTTGCTAAACAAAATACAGGAGGAAATAGGATCGTTACATTGTAAGCTTTATTATTTATATCTAGAAGATTTATTTACTTATGTACCTACAATCAATTATAATTTTATTTTATTAAATTTGTGCATATACATATAATAGGCAAATTTGTTCCACTTTTTTACTTATAAAATATGATACTTTGTACGCTTGACGACATCGTATTTTCAAATATTAAATAGAGAAATATTGAACAGAGAAATATTTCTGAAAAATGTAAGAAAAATATTTACAGGTAAGAAGATTTGAAATATTTTTATGAAATATAAAAAGTATTATATTTATATTTATAATAACCTAACATTTCCTAAGTAAAATTTTATAACCTTGCTCTCATCAATTTCAATATACGTATATAAAAAAAGTTTCAAAAGCTGTAGAACAATTTGCAGTAGATATATAGTTTTATAAAATTTTATAAATCATTTAAAGTGATAAAATTAGCCTATTAAGTCATGCATGTACTCACTAATAAATTTTTGTAAGACAGGTATCTTATACTTTAATTTAAAAAATTTGAATTTTAAGAAAAAAAAATTTTGCAATTTTACAAAATTCAAGCTATGTAATAAATAATGTCAACATAATTTAAAATAATAATATTTGACAATGATCATTGGTAATTCTTAAAGATACATGATAAATCCAAAGTCCAAAAAAAAATCTAGAGCAAAAATTTACTCAAAATAGTAAAAAATCTGTAACAATATAGTATAAATAGTATTGGAATTCGCTTAAAATAGTAAAAATAGTAAAAAGGTTAATTCAGAATAGTAATAAAAGATTTAATTGAAAATAGTAAAAATAATAAAAAGATTCATTGACAACAATAAACCTAAAAAATGCGTTCGCTCAGAATAGTAAAAATAGTAAAATCGTTTACATAAAACAGTAATAACACATTTACACAGAAGGGTTAAAAACATAAAGACGTTCATTCATTATAGTAAAAATAATGAGGAAGTTCATTCAGAATAGAAAAAATAATTAAACAGTTCATTTAGTATAATAAAAATTAGAATAGTAAAACTAATAAGAGCGTTCACTCAGCACAAATAATGAACAAGTTTACACAGAATAGAAAAATAATACAGAATTTCACCCTGAATGGTAAAAATAATGGAACATTTCACTTAGAATACAAAAAATAATAAAAAATTTCATTCAGAATAGAAAAAATAATAAAAAAGTTCACTCCAAATAGTAAAAATGATAACAAAATTCACTTAAAATAATAAAAGTACTGAAAAGATGTTTATTTTTGTCAGACACGCAACCCACTCCTAAATTTTGAATAATAAAAATGCTAAAAAAGTACACTTAGAATAATAAAACTAGTATAAAATAATCTTGCAATGTCTTACATCCCACCTAAAATTAATTCTTCCTACATTCTTCGTTTGTAAAGAAATAATAGTGTGCTAGAATAGCAAAAAAAAATTCATTTTGAGTTTTAAGATGAAGAACCATTGCTTCGCAACTCTGCAGGATGTATGAGGACGCAGAGGATGCGTCGGACATCAACGAGAACTTCTTCAACGCGTTAGCTTTGTTACATTCAACAGACGACAACAGCACAGAGAAACTTCAGAAAATGTTGGACACGTTTATAGAACGGAAATACGGTTTTGACAAAACTTTGATGGCCAGACTGCCCAAGAAATTTGTTCAGAATACGAAAATCCGTGGTAAATCGTTCTCCGACGTAAAAACGAAAAAACACAAAGATGATGTATCCTGTAAAACAGGAAGTACCAGTCGGATAAGTGAAGATTTGTATGTTGCAAACGATTCAGTAGAAAATAATTGGAAAACTGTAAAAGTGTTCAACGCGGATGTTGAAGACTATAGCGAGAAAGGAGATGTTCCAAGGATATCTATTCCTGATGAAGGATCTGGAGATGGACTTCTATGCAAGGTTTTCGATGATGCATTATTGAACTTTGTTAATTGGTTGTTTGATTTAAATTTTGTTTGGCTGTTTAGCTTTAAATTTTAAAGATTTGGTATATTTGAGAATTTGGGATTGAAAACTTTCTCAATTTCTGAAACAAATTTTCAAATTTATAAATGAACAAATTATGAAATTTCTAAGTTATTAAATTAGCAAAGTAATTGCTTAATTTCTACATTTTCAAGCTTTCAAGTTATCAAATTTCTAAAATAATAAATTATTAAATATCTGCAGTGAATTTCTTAATTTTTAAATTCTCGAGTTCTCAAATTATCAAATTTTCAAACTTTCAAGTTTTCAAATTTGCAAATTACTGTATTTATAAATTTTCGAATTCTTAAATTTCCTAGTTCCCAAATTTTCAAATTCCCAAATTTCCAAATTCTGAAATTTTCAAATACCCAAATTCCCAAATTCCCAAATTCTCAAATTTTCAAATCTCAAGCTTTCAATTTATGAAATTTCCAAATGACTAAATTTCTAACTGTTCGAATTCCAAAATTACTATAATTATATATTGCTAAGTTACTAAATATCAAAAATTTTCAAATCACTAAATAACCAAATTTGCAAACTCGATAATTACATATTTATAAATTCCTGAATTCCAATGTACACCTACAAATAACAATATACACAACAAAGAAACCATGACAAGTATCCTGTATCAATAAGGCGAATTGAATTGGATTAATCTAATTACTGACACGTTACTTGGTGCAAGGGCAGGTCTGTAACGGGGCAAAACTAGGGCCCTTGATTCTCCTCGAGTGTCAAGAGTGCCAAGAAGTGTATCATCCTCTATGTCATCAACCTCCCGTCGTCGACATCGATGTTTTCGACCCCAGAATCGTGTGGATGTGTCAAAAATGCGTAGACATTTCTGTCGATACACTCGATGTAAAGAAACAAAAAGAAATTTATGCATTCAATAATCTAGACGTTCAAGAAGTTCCTGTAGAGGCAGACATGTTGGAAAAATCAAATGAAAGACTTTCAAAAAACGAAACTACTGTTGCACAAAATTTATTAGGTTAAAATTTTGTAATATATTTTACAAAATATTGTCATATAATGAGGATCAGTTTTCATTTTTTGTTAAAAATTTGTTAATTTTTAGATTGCAGTGTTGATAATGGACTAATTGAAAAAGGTGTTTTTACACAGAAGGTGAAAAATGTATCTTCGAATCAGTTGAGGAAACGTGTTGGTTCGAAACTTTCAGTAACTCGTTCTGTAGTTAAATAGAAATTTTTTCTTTCTTATTTTTTGTTCGTATATATGACTACAAATTAATATAAGCTTTAATTTCACTTGTTATATAAATATTTGATGTATTGAAATTGAAACATATAAATAAATTATATTTATCGAAAATGTGTCCAAATTAAATTATAAATTTTATATTTTAACAATTTTCACTTGTTCATGAATTAAGTCACTGTTATTGTTTCTAAATTATATTTATTGTTATCCTTATTAATTGTCTGTATTGAAATTGTACACTCTTAAATACTTATGTCATTTATTAAAAATTTACACAAGATAAATAGTGGATTTAATATTTTACTATTTTTACTGGTTCATAAATTGTGCTAATGTGCATAAATCTTGATTAGTTACTTTCTGATTAATTGTTCCCACGAATAAACATTTCTAAGCAATTTTCTATGTTCTCTAAAAAAGTCTATTTATGATAAATGCATGAAACACAGCTAAATTATATCCAAAGTATTTAAAACTCCATAAATTCTATCTGTTACATAACAAATCGACGTATATTTTTCAGTCGATTATTCGATATAATCGTCTTGAATCTTTAATTTTCCATTATCTCACGTGCATAGTTGATCTTCACGAGATCAATTAGAGCGAAAGTGATCGAGCATCGAGTCTGGCTAAAAGTTCGGCATGGCCGCCGAAGGTAATTGAACTCCGTTGACCTTAATACAGAAAACGAACGAGCAAACGAAATGAATCGTGCGACAATGACGGACACTTCTTGCTACGTGAATGACCAAAATAGAGATTTTAAACGCGTACATTTTTTATTTCCTGAAAGGACGAAGGTTGCTTCGGTGGAATTAACGTAACGAGCGTAAGGATTGTCTGTAATCGGCTTAACAAAACGCTCCACGAAACGTGTGAAATTATGATAATGGCCCCTAAGGTAGCTTTAGCGACTATCGTAAAAGTTTCAATTCACAATATCATTTCAATTGAATGTTTTTAACTTTTGCGAAATTTATTCATTCTGGATTTCTGCTAATAATTGAACTTGAATCTTTTGGATCATCGCAATTAAATATAATTAATAGTTTGGAAAATTTTATATGGTCATTCATAGATAAGATAGAAAAATCTAAGTAAAATAAATATAATAGATTTAAAAAATAGGTAATAGTTAATAGACAAGGAAAACAATAAATAAAATAACAAATAGTTCATAGGCAAATAAAATAACCAGTAGTGATAGACAAATAAAATAACCAGTAGTGATAGACAAATAAAATAATCAATAGTTAATAAGTAATTAAAATAACTGACATTTAATAGATAAATAAAATAGTTTATTTAAACTAGTACAATTTTAATACAATAAATAATTGCATAATAAAGACAATTGAAAAGTTACATTAATTAGTAATGAAGCATATAATCATCTACAAACATTCACATATTTTATAAAAAAAGCGAAAGAAATATAAAATTTTAGTTTATGTGGGATAGGCTTCCGTAAATAAAATAATATATTATTTATTTAACCTCACTATTTAGTGTTGTTTATTATTCAGACTTCGCTGTAATATTAAATAAAAATTACCATCGATTATTTAACTAGAAAAATACAACAAAAAATCTTTGAGGATATAATTTATCCACGCCTCGTGGATTTAGAGAACTGTAAAAAAAAAATTTCGTTTATTATTTATCGAGAAAGGTAAAACGAAAAATCATTCAATGTACATCTGTGCTTCATCGTCAGTTTATCTCTCATCGACGCTACATTTACCAATTTACAATATTTTAAAGTAAATATAATTAACTATCGTTATACTGATCTCGAAAGTTTTACAAACTGGATGCTCCATTTTCAAGCCGAGTACCCTGAACAAGCGCGAATTTTATATTATAAATTAAAAATATCATCTAAACTCTAAACACTGGATACGAGTATTGGAACAGAAACAACTAAATTATTGCTACCTCTTAATTAGTTTAGTTTAATTAGGTACTCTATAGAAGACAGTACGTACGTTATCGCTCGAAAGTCTTAGAACACTGAATCTCCAAGAAAGAAATTAAGCAGAAAATGGGAACGAAAGTTGAAGATTCGTTTAACTTTATTTTTATCTTTTCATCGAATAAATTATTATACAGATTTTCAAAGTACTAAAATTGGCAATTCCTCAATTTGAAATTTGAAATTTTCTATATAGAGTTTCTAAATTTTTACTGTTTTAAGTTTTTTAAATTCTAAAATCAAATTACTAAATTTCTAATTCAAACTTACAAATTTTCAAATGACCAAATTTATAAATTTTCAAATCACAAGTTTTGAAATTATCAAATTTATAAATTCTCAAATAAACAAATTTTGTAATTATCAATTTTATAAATTCTGAAATCAACAAATTTGAAATGATCAAATTTATACATTCTCAAATCATCAAATTTTGAAATGACCAAATTTATAAATTCTCAAACTAACAAATTTTCAAATCAACAAATTTTGAAATTATCAAATTTATAAATTCTCAAATAAACAAATTTTGTAATTACCAATTTTATAAATTCTGAAATCAACAAATTTTGAAGTGACCAAATTTATACATTCTCAAATCATCAAATTTTGAAATGACCAAATTTATAAATTCTCAAACTAACAAATTTTCAAATCAACAAATTTTGAAATTTCCATATTCCTAAATTCTTTAGTCATTTAGTCCTAAATGACTAAATTTCTAAATTTTGAAACCCACAAATTTTCAAATTTTCAAATTATTTAATTCCTGAATTCCTAAATCCATCAATTTTCAAATTATCAAATTACTAAATTCCTTAATTCTCAAACCCACAAATTTTCGAATTTTGAAATTACCAAATTGTTAAATTTTCAAATTATCAAACTACCGAATTTGTAAATTTCTAAATTTCTATATCTGAAAAATTGAAGATTTTTAAGTTCCAAAATTTGAAAATTGCAAAATATTAAATAATCAAAACTCCATAAGAAACTTGAAAATTCCTAAATCTTTAAATCTTCAAATTCCAAACATTCAGAAATTCAGGAAATATTTTCAAAATTCATAGCCATCTTTCAAGTTTTCAAATATTTTATACTTCTACAAAATGAAAATAACTTTAATGTATTCTTTACGTTCAACGAATAGTAAACAACAAGGGTGTTCTAAAAATTTTGAGTAACATCGTATACTCTGTAAGCTAGATTACAAACACAAAAACACTATCGCAAGACAGCTATTTGTGCCGATTATCACAGAACTGTCGATCGTCTAAATCTAAAAAGATCCATGTTTCAAGGAAGAAGAAGCTGTTTTGTTATAATAGTACAGTGATTTTTAAAACTGCTAATTAAAAAAAAAGCATTTTTCGTAGCAAAATTACAATAGTCAAAAAATGAAATTCTTCATCGGTAGTTACCAAGTGCAGATCGATATGTAATCAAGTTATTATTGCTAATTAGCTCTGTTAATTTAACTAGGATTTTTTATTAGGGTGGACTAGGCGAATCTTATACAAAATCGTAATTTCCCTAGGAAAAATAGTGAGTTGTTTAGAGAAAATAACGGTGTTTCTATGATTTGCAAATTTTTTAATTTTCAAATTTTCAAATTTCTAAATCTCTAGGTCCCCAAATTCCTGAATTCCCGAATTTTTTAATTTCTAAATTTCCGAACTTTGAGATTCCTAAATATTTAAACTAATTTTCTAATAGGTGAAACCTAAAATTTCTAAATTTCTAAATCTATAAACCCCCAATTTTCGAATTTGGAAATCGTTAAATTTTCAAATTACTGAATTCTGAGGTTCTCCAATTTATAAATTTCTTCATCTCAAATTCTCAAATTATAAATTCTAAAATTTCCAATTTTTTAAATTCCCAAATTCTTAAGTCCAAAAATCTAAATTTCCAAATCCTTAAACCCCAAATTTTTGAATTTCCAAATTCTTAAATTTCCAAATTTCTAAATTCCCAAATTCTTCAATCTGTAAATCCCTAAATCTCAAACCAAACATTTAAATTTCTCAATTTTCCGAATTCCCAAACTGTAGTTCCAATATTCAATAATAGAGCTCCATTAATTCTTCTATAAAATAATTTTTTCACCCATGTTCACCCTAAACCCTAGTTACCTCAACAATTATCTGAAAATTGAAGCTTCTACGCGTATTCACAAAAAAATATACTCTGCAGACAGTTAACGTTTACATAATGTCAACTCACAACCGAACGCTACAATCCTAGAAAAATAACACGAATAACATTATATTAACAAGAATACAATTTAATATCTCTCGTTAATCGCTCTTAAAACTTATAAATGTTTCATGCTGATTTACAAGTTCATTTTCCAAAGACGAGTTTTTGCGACAGAGAAAAATAGCTGTTCTCGAAGATGCTAATCGTAAAATGCATGCAACTTATCATCGAGTCATTCTTTTATTATTATTTTTTTTTCGTTAAATTTAACGCGTGCATCGTTCTAATGTGTACCAATAGTGAGAAGTAGCGAAGTGCAAAAGAGCTCGATACTTTTTTAATGTACAATCTTGTTTCATGATCAGAGCAATGTTCTGTGCTTCTGAACTACTTTACATTAATGTGAACCTCTGCTCAAAACCAGCAGCAGGAGACGTTCAGCCTAATTCGTGACAGTGTCATCGTGCCAACTGGCTGACATCAATTAAATAAAGATTCTGACACATGTCAAGGTCGTTCCAACTAGCACCTCAACAACACATTGTCTTCTGGCACCGATACGATACTTTACATAAACCGTGGTAAGATCTATCGATCATTTACAAGCTCAATTATCGAAACAACAACAGCATACAATGTTGTGTAATGTACCAGCTGTCAGCCAGAAGTTTAATCATTCATTTAACACGTTTGGATTTAAATGACAGAAACTTGTGACTATCACGTGGTACACTCGTGTCAATCTTCAGTATACTCTCGAATTGTGAAATACATTCTTATAAAAATCTTTGATAGATTGTTCGAATTTTATTTAGGCTACGTAGTTTCAGATGTTTTCAATGTGCTTATGTATCCAAAAACGATACTTACGCTATAAGCATATATTTTAATCTCTAACGATCAAATTTTAAAAGGGTGGAATTTTTAGAATGCTGATTAACCCCTGTTCGGATAGGTGGTTAATTTTAACCCTTAGCTTTTACGATAATCGCTATTAATAGTATACTGACAAATTTATATAATTATAATTGTTAGGTTTATTAACTGTTATATTTTTTAATAATATTAAAATAAAATTTGCATGGGATGAAATTGTGGCTACGGTAAATTTTAAGGGTGAATACTTTATATTTGTGTTTGCGAGGTTTAAACATTTAATGAAATTAATTATGTAAATTTTAAAATTTAGGCTTAATTTTAACAATTGGTACGACTCCCCGAAATCCGAAGAGGGGTTAAAACACATTCGGGTACAACGTAGGATTCTCTTAGATAAAAATACATGTTCGAGGAGTTTCATCATTTGGCTTCCATTTTGAAAAATTAAGTACGTAAACAAGAAACTTTAAAAATCTGAAAATTTAGAAATTTAAAGGTTAAAAATTGGATGTTTCTAAATTTCTAAATTCTCAAATTTCTACATTTTCTAAATTTCAAGTTTCCAAATCTCTAAAATCCTAAATCCTTAAATTTCCAAATCCTCAAATCCCTGAATTTCGAAATTCTCAAATCCACGAATTTCTAAATGTTCAAATCTCCAAAATCCTTAACTTACAAAAGCTCAAACTTCCAAGTTTATATATTTTTAATTCACCGAATTTCCAAGTGCCCAAACCTCTAAATTTTAACATTATCAAATTTCCAAATCTCCAAATAAGAAAATTTCTAAACCTTCGTATACTTAAAAGTTTGTGAACCAATAGTTAACAAGTGTAGGAACCTCCTCACCGCTATGTCGCCATTATCTCTAAAGAAGCCTAACGTGTACCTCAACAATCTACCAAAGCTTCTTACATACTTATAATTATCTTACATCGAATAAATTATTCCTGCAAATTGTCTTATAAAGACAGCATAATAGCTTAACAATGCGTGTGTTTGATCTACGATCGAGTAATGTACAGCTACACTTAACAAACTATGTAATTCAACTAAAGAGAAACAAAAGAAAATCAATGATCTTAACCATTTCAGTGTTAAGTGATTTATTAAAGTTATTCTGTAGGTAGATTTTAATTTACATGGCATCATTAGTACGTTTATAGTATCTTTAATATATCACTTGGCACGGATAAATAAAAACGAGCAGAAACACCGGCTCGTTTTGTAATGGGAACCATTCAAGATATGTTGTTTTGTTTCACTGTACATGATTTATCTTTGTTGTTTGCGGTTTAACAATAATTTTGTATACAATCGATTGGTAAAAAAAGTACTGTGACGTTTATTGTAGTGTATGATTAGCAGTTGATCAATCGAAATTAAAAAGATATCAAAGTGTGTCATGGAAATCTAATTGTCCCTATTTATGTTTAACATAAAACGTATAAGGAACGTTATAGTGTAATATATCAGCGGTAACGCCATGTATTCATTCCGGATCTTTACATATTGTACAGGTTTGTATATGAATTTATACGACTGATTCCAACACACCTACAACAATGTCATTTTATTACAAACTTTCGTTTTGTTCACTTAATATTCCTCGTGAAAAAGAAGATGAGATTCTTGATTATAAAATTTGGTATAAACAGTTATTCGAATTAATTTCATTAATTTGTTCCATAACTTTGGACGTTATTGGTGTCTTGGTCAGAAATGTGTTATACGATTGCCTATTTCCATTGAAGTTGTGTATTTAAATATGCCAATCATGTTATATCAGAGATCACAAATGTGGGTATTAATTCTTACATTCTTAAAATAATATTGCCGTGACCAAAGTTACACGAATGTCAAGTAAATTACTCCACTGCTGTGGTAGTATTTTTCTTTTTTTCATTTTTTTTTTTATACATGACTGATGATATACAGCTGTACAATGATAAATAACATTTCTACAATATCTTAAATTAAGATTACGTACACTCATTTAATGAACGTACCTACGTTAAAGACGAAAGACATGTTAATACAAATGCATCCTACATGCTGACAATGCATCAAAATCCATGATATAAAGATGCTTGAAAAGAAATAAAAAAGGTAACGACTAGATTTAGTTATGGACTAGAAATCACACTTTGAAAAATAGAAAGTCTATAAAAGCAGATTTTTAAACTATTAATGAGTCACCTTGTAATATTTCCATTATTCATTAAATCAACCACGTAATTTCAATGTGTAATTTAATTATTTTGGACTGTTTAATTATTGTATGTATGTAGGATACATATTTGTCTGGTACTACTATAAGTATCCGCTACCTAAAAGGCCATTGAAGATTTTCATTGCCTTGGAAGATACCAGTGCCATACTTCGGAAGCGCTAGATTTAAAAAAAGTTTCTTTTTTTTTTAACTTTTAAATAGTAGGTATATTTTCAAATGAAAATCGCCTACAATCAAGGGGAAATGCTAAGTTAAAAATCCATCTGTAGCTTAATAAAGTGTTCGATAATCCTATCTCGTCGAAATTAATTAAAAATGAGCAGTAAGCTATGTATCCACTCAATGTTTAAAACATTTCTACATATTCTGCTTTCAAATATTCTAGTAAAATTTCTTTTTACGAATTAAATATTTCCCCCGTTTTAGTATTTAATATTCTAGTAAGTATGACACAATAAATATTTTAAAAAACGTTTCTACTTGAAAAAAAAGTAGAGGAAGAGATCTAAATTACAAGAAGTGCTATAAAACTTCTGAGTCTGTGATGTTTCTGTATTATATAACAGAAAAAAAGCTTCAAAATTTAAATCCGATCATAAAATCATACAATTCTATAATAAAATCTAGAGATTCTTAATGTTGTTTATGTAATATCAATATTATCACCATCATCATTACGTACCTAAAACGGTAACAATTACTTATAAATGTTTTGATTTCATTCAATATATGCGTGTTTTGTTAAGAAATGTTTGCCAGTGTTTATGCTAGTGGATACCTAGCATAGTGTAGTATATTTTTCACCTTTGGCAATAGCACTTCCAGACAGTGGCAGTAGGCACTTTTGATGACAATAATACGTTAATGATAAGTATAAAATATTATGAGTTATTCCACCTTTAAGGTGGGTAAACCATTTCCAACAACCAGCTGCTCCTTGGGAAAGTCTAGAACTACGGTAACATGAAAACCCATATTTGCAGAGGCAATCACATACTCGCATAAGGAAAACCAACTAAATGCTGTTAGAAAAAGAATTTATAAATCTTGTGTGAGATGGCTGAAAATATAAACTTAACCGAAACTTACTTATATTTATTAAGCATTATTTATTTACATTTGATTCGTATAGTACACTCCAGTTGTATTTCCATATATTTGACTGTAAAGGAATTCTTGGAATTGGAAAGATTAGAATGGGTTAATTCATTCAATGCTGAAGTAATAAAGTCCTACCACCATCAATACGTATGGTAATAAAACAAGAATCTACTATACTTAATTCTGTGTAAGTATTATATATACTATCAACAACTATCTAATTTTAATTTAAATTTTATCTAAATTAAATTTTATAAAAAGATATGAACTTCCTTACCCAAATCGTGGCACAGTAGTCTGTGTTTTAGAAAGAAAATAATGAGTCCAATAGTACTAATAAGACTTGTTACAAAAAGTGCCTGTTTGTACTGAAGGCTTTGTGCATTTGGCGTCACAAGACGACCCAACCTTACTGCCATTAGCATATATGTAAGAGAGCTAATCATGAAAGCAATGAAGATCTTCTCGTGCACAGCTGAAAAATAATATATCTGTTATCAATTTGTTACTGTACTACCAGTTGTGAATTGTACAATGAAAAATTGACAACAAAAAAAATGAATAAAAGTAATTAATTAATAATATACTAAACTTATAATGTTACTTACAATAATTTTCTCTGTTGGAGATATATGTAACACCACACAAGGCTGCTACCTCTGCGATATTTAACCAGTAGCATAAATTCAAAAGCCTACATCCCACAATCCTTGAAGGTACATCTTCAATTGCTTTAAGTATTTTGTAGTAATATGAGTGATAAACACTGGCAATGATCAAACGAGGACCAATATGTAATGCTATGCTTATACGCCACAAATATCTCTGTGGAGATATACCGGTAATAGCTGAGATTGATGGAAGTACATTATAAACCTAAATTAAAGAAATTTATTTTTTATAAATTCTATGGAATACTATACTTTGTAATAGTTTATGACATCAACTGTGTAAGAATTTATACCCTGCAATGTGTTTCGTGAATATCATCTTGCTGAAAGATATATGCCGTAACGAAACAAATTAAGAGGGTAACAAGAGGCAAAGACACTGTTGCCAAACATAATTTTTTAAATGAAATTGCTACGTATATTGAACTTTTACTATTCCCTACATTATTTTGCTCCATAGTGATATTATCTAATATTTTGGCATTAAGCACAAAATGAGAAAAAAGCTTGGGAAGATCAGAGATCTGAATCAGTCTACATTAGGGTCATGCTTCATTTTAAACTTGATTAAAAGTTTCAAATACTTCTTTAAGTTTCATAATAAGCCTGCAACAACAAATAAATATTACATTAGTAATATCATAACATGATAATATGATCATGAATAATATTTAACAGTAAAGTACACACAAAGCAAAACAAATTTTATCAGAATAACATTTACTTATAATATTTATGCTACCTAATTAGTTTTAAATAAAACTCTTAAAGCTATATGTTAGATTAGGTAACTTGTGAGCCAAAAAGTAACAATGATAAAAAATAAGAAGTATATGACAAGAGAGGTACTTTTTGTCTGAAACATGCAGATTTCACACGATAAACATATTCGCTTAATTGCTCTATTTTCGGAATTGATTTTACGGATAACCTACTTTTTCTATTTATAGCAAACAAAAAGCACTGTCACGGGTAACACAGAGTTCATGACATTTGCCTGGAAACGATTTATTATGATATTTAATATTTTCGGGTAAAATATGCGATTAAAACTGAGATCTGTGTAAAACAAAAAGCGAACACAATGCAAGAGCACTGTTAATACATGAAATGATCTTAACCGAACTTCGTCTTTGTTTTTAATTATAGTAAAAAAAGAAATTACATTTAAACTTTAATATCTACACGACGATGTATTGATTACGTACTGCACAACGTGTGTTAATTTATTTAACGGGTAGTTGAGATCTCGATTGCAATTACTTGTTGAGAAATACAGATATGTACACGAGTCATTAGCTGAAATATAAACAGCACTGTACAATGTACGAATAATAACTGAAGTTTTATTGCGTTATTTTCATTGAAGCTTCAATGAAATGTCATAATTCTGAATTAATCACAAATTATGAAAATTATTACATATCCTATAATGAATAGTTCATTCATGATCATTTAGGATCTGCGTACGAAAAATCGAGAAAATTTACCTTATTCCTTGTATACAAGCGTGTCGTCTGCTAGTATGCGAATTTCTGTTTGAAGAGATGCCATCTACAAATTATACTTATGTCAGCCGGATACTTTACGGTAGCGCGAACTTTAAATTCTTTTTGTTCGAAGTCAGATATACTCAACGTTTTTTATTTAACCTTCTGTTTTTGTAAAATATATATTTTAAGCTAACTAATTCCGGTTTCCGAGAATGGATCTTTGTTCACGAAAGTTTAGGAAATCCTATTCGGAATAAACGATTATACAGTTCCTGCTAATGAGAGATTATTTTTAAAATTATAAAATTCATATCAACTTTATTAGAAATATAGTTACAATTTCCCTAACTATACATTTACTATGCCAGTTCTTTTTGTCGTACTTCTTCTTCCATTTCATATTCGATTTCAACCCTCGGACGTGATCTCTTTTGTGTTTTAACTTTTTTGATGACTCGATGTTTTGCCTTTTTACTGGTAGAAGGTACTAGATCCTGCAGTAGATAATCATAGTTATAAATATAATTTATTCTTGATAATAACAAATATGATAGAAATCTTTATTACCTCAATATCACTCGTTTCAGACTCAAAATTGTCAGATAATATAACTTCTTCCTTTTGTCCTGAATCACTATCTTCATCCTAACAAAATCAATAAATGTATAACAGTTAGCAATATACAAAAAAATTGTAATTTATATAAGCAATATTTGAATTACAATGGACACTTCTTCAATATCAAAATCATCTTCATCATCCTCTTCATCTGTGTCTGCTTCTACATAATGCGGCTCATTTCTTTCCTTTTCTCTTTCATCTGCTTCTAATTCCAGTTCTACTTCTCTTTCAATTTCTTGGGCTAGTTCCTCTTCTGCTTCACTCTCAGCTTCACTTTCACCTTCAACTTCAACAGCTTCCACAGCTTTATCGAATACTCTTTGTGGGAAATTATAAATATCATTATACTAAAAGAGAAAAAGGAATATATTAATAATATTCTGGAAATAAATATTTCATTTAAAAACAGAGATTCAATTCTAAGAACTCATACCATGCCTTGTTTCAATCTTTCCATAAGTTGCTTTTCTATCGATGTTTCTAATTTAGCAGCGATAAGAGCCTTTTCTTCTCTTCGCCTTTCTCTCCTCTCAATCTTTCTTTGAATTGGTACAATTTGTTTTTGCCTCCTTAATCGTAATTTTCTCATACGTATTAGATACTGTGTAATTTTTAGAAATCTCTGTTTACATTTTGCTTTAATGAAACCAGGCCAATATAATAAATTTTCATTAATCTGTTGTATAGCTTTTTCAAAATTTCTGGAAAGCTTAACCTTCTCCCAGGCATTTTTTGGAAAATGTATTCTATAAGGAAGTCATTAATTATTGCAAGTGATTGATAATTAACATGTGCATACGATATTGATCCATATGTAAATTAAGTTACCATTCAGATGCACAAGCTTCAAACAAAGTTTTTACCTTTCAGCTGTCCTCATATACAAGTATATAATACCATTTTCTTCTCTAATTGTAGCATACTGACTATTCGCAAGTGGACAAGACGCTCTACTACATAGACCTGTGAGATTATATTCATTGCGACAAAACCTCTGAGTCTTTGTGCTATAAAAATAAAACAAAAAATAACGTTACACTGTATTCATTATTTCTCTTGAGTCTTCCAATGAAAATATACATACTTTACTTTGAAGGAACAAAAGGACTTGTTAATAACACTCCAAACAACCTAAAAATATTACATTTAAATTAAACGTTATTAATTGAAATAAGTACATTACAGTACACTTACGTCATCATGCTGCATGTTTATTTATATCAATTTAATTTTTATGTGTACTACTTAATATTCAAAATATAAAATAATTTTTTGAAAGGTACACGTGCATTCACAATGTATAAGTACTATAGGTTATGTTATGATTTTATTTAATGAAATTGTCGATAGATGGTGATAGAGTGTTAATCAACTTGAATATCAAATATTATCATTCTGTTTGACTGTGTTGTACAATGTTGTGTCAAGTTATTATTTAATGACGATAAGATTTAATTAATAAGATCATTAAATAAGATTAATAAATACGGGATGAGTTATCGGTGATATTTTGGAAAATGCTAAAGTATTTTAAATTTAGTTCATTAGTTTCCGTTTTCTACCGTTCGATGGTCAAGCATTTTGAAGTTCATAAAATGCAATCTTTTTAATTTACAGTTTTTCATGCTTTCAGCGAGTTGTGATTACATTATTTCTGCTCTTTTGAGATAATAACTCTACTCATCTCGAAAAGCGTAAAAGTAGACCATTTTGAGAAAAAACACGGTTCTCTACTTTGTTTGACGCTAGATGACGTCATCTGTTTCGTTTCTGTACTAATGCAATTAATATTGACTTTTTGACTTAATAAATGATAATATTCTTCAGTAAGCAATATTAAATAACTTTAAGATGTTCTAAAAGTGTTAACGAATTGAACTAGACAATTTCTTTCAAAATTTAGTTTCGTTAGTTTCAGTATTTTACTACTAGATGGCTAAGCGTTTTAAAGTCTATACTGTAAAATACTGTTCGTACTTTTTGAATACAGAATCTTGAGCTTATTATAAGACCATTTTTTCACTATTATTGTAACCGAAAAACAATTTATGATCACCAAGAGTACGAAATAATGCCTTATTTTACAAAAAAAAACCTAATTTTTTATTTCGATAGTTCTACATGTGTCAGTCAGATGGCGCTACTAATATTATTTTCTAACAGCGTGCATGTTAATATCAATTTAAAAAACGTAAAATGAAGCTATTAAAATACTTTAAAAGTATTTAAAAAAATATGAAGTATAAAAAATGTTTTCTTTTAGTCGAAATTGAAGCCTAAAAACGATCTATTTTACAGAAAAGATAATTTTATATTGCATTGATTATTCAGTTCACTAGCAAATGGAATACGCAATATCATTTTTAAATTGCGCAGAAATATTACACCACCCTTTCAATTTATTAAAAAAATATATCTCTGCACTCTGGGAAGCAATTAAAAGATAACACAGACTATATTGTCCTTATACTGCAAATATAGTTAAACAAAAATTGTATCTCTAATATTTTATGCAACATTATGTGAATACGAAATAAAGAATTGTTCTATTCCAAATATTAATTTCTCAAATAACGGTAAATGCAGTAATTAATTGCATATTCCTGTATTAACAAATGTATTCGTGTAATTAGATGATTTTTACACGCATCGGAATATTTAGAAGGGGTTTGTCGATAGCAGAAGCAACCCCAGCAAAACTAATCACTGTATAATGGGCAAATTTATATTCGTGCGTCGGAACCAACCCCTAGTACTGGTAAAATGTCATTGCGTGTCTAGCTGTATATAGTTCGATGTTCTGTGGTCCCATTTATGTGGGGTCAAATCAAGTTTCTTAATTAAGGAACCATTCGATTCTTTGCAAGTTCTTTTGGAAGTTTTATTAATTTAACCCCTTCCCGTGCTATTTATTTAACAGATGCGTCAATCAAGACTAACTATTCAGGGCTATAACATTAAAAGGAACAAAGAAAATTAAAATGTTGTGAGTATTTTATATTCAGGAATCCTTGATAATGCAATATATAGTTGGACTTAAAGTTCAAGTTGAAGAATGTTCAAAGTTTGAGTAAGGTTTGTCACATTTGAGCTGTAAATGCGTCACGAGTGAGACTCGTCAAAGTACGGAAAGGGGTTGATCCGAAAAGTGACTCACACTTACCGTTTGGTTTAAAATAACAATATGAAATAGGTATTTATTAATTATATTTAGAGTGCCATTTGATGTAGAAATACAGAAACAAATCAGTGGAAACTAATGGCAGAGTATAACTTCAGAATTATTTGTATGAATTCATTTATTTGTATGAAGTATTGTAGGTAAATTAAATTTTGGATTAGCAAGGGCTTTTTAGGGTTGCGATTTAAAGTATGTTGTTCTAACACGTCACTCAATAAGTCCCTGGTCTCACACATATATGGCGACTCTGGTGACAGACCCACGTTATTTTCGAATAATACTAACCTTCAAACAGTACGTGTAAAAATTTCATGGTATTCTGATCGATAGTTTAGAAGTTACAGTCATTTTAGTACCCCCAGTTTCGTAATTTTGAAGACAATGAACAGAAAGGAATTTCGTGTGTTGATTAAACACTGTTTTTTAATCGGAAAAAATACTATTGAAGCCAAGAAGTGACTTGATAAACATTATAGGGACTCTGTACCAGGGAAATCAACTATCATTGACTATTATGCTGAATTTAAACACGGTCGTACAAGCACCGATGATGCTGAACGCTCTGGTTGCCCAAAATCAGCAGTTGTTCCGGAAAACATAAAAAATGTCCACAAAGTAGTTTTAAAAGACCGTAAACTTAAGTTGCGTGAGATAGCTGATGCCTTGAAAATATCAGAAGGTAGTGTCTTCACAATTTTGCATAAAAATTTGAGCATATACAAATTGTTTTCAAAGTGGGTGCCGCGTTTGCTGTTTCACGAAGGCAATGCGCCGTGTCACAAGACGATGAACACGATGGTTCAACTGAATGAATTACGTTTTGAATTGTTTCCCCACACATCGTACTCCCCAGATTTGGACCCCAGCGACTACTGGCTTTTTGCAGATATGAAAAAAATGCTCCAGGCAAAGAAATTTGACTCAAATGAAGAAGTGATTGCGGAAACTGAGGCTTACTTTGGGGGCAAAGACAAATCGTTTTATATAAAGGGAATTGAAAAGTTAGAGGAGCGTTGGAATCAATAAATCACACTGGAAGGAAAGTACAATATATAGATGATTAAAGTGGAATTTCTAAAAAAAAATTTTTCTTAGTTAGACCGGAGACTTATTGAGTGATGTGTTCGACCTTGCATTTTAAACAAGTTATCTTATTGGTGTTAGATAAATTTACATAAATCTATTTTCATTTGAGCAAAATAGTAGACAATTGTAGTAATTGTAAAATTTGTAAAACCCTAAATTTTCAAGTTTTCAAATTTGTAAAACTCTAAATTTCCAAGCTCTCAAATTTTGAAAACCTTAAATTTTCAAATTCTCAAACTTCAAATTTTCACATTTAAAAATTTTGAAATACCTTTAAATTTTCAAATTCTCAAATTTCCAAATTTCGAATGATCCATATTTCTAAATTCACATATACTCAAATTTTCAAAATCTAAAAATTTTAAAGCCTCGAATTTTCAAATTCTCAAATTTTCAAGTTCTCAAATTCCAAATTCCCGCGCTTTCAAACTTCGAAAAACCAAATTTCTAAATTTGTAAATACTAAAATTTTCAAAATCTCAAAATTCTGGAATTTCAAATTTTTAAAGTCTCAAAATTCTGGAATCTCAAATTTTCAAGTACTTAAATTCCAAAATCTCTTGTTTTTAAGTTTCGAAAAATTCAGATTTCTAAATTTGCAAATTCTTAAACTCTCATTGGCTCAAGGTTCTAAAATCCTTAATTTTCAAGTTCTTAAACTCTCAAATTTTCAAACTATCCAGTTCTCATATTTTCAAATTTTTGAAGTTCCCAATTTTATAAATTTTCAAAGTTTCAAAACAGTAAAATCTCAAATTTTCAAATTCCTAAAATTTTCAAACTTTGACATTCCGAAATTCTCAAATTCCCAAACTTTTCAAGTTCTCAAATTCTCAAATTTCTAAACTCCAAAATTTTAGAATAAGAGTATTTGTATACATGGGACTTGTAAGGTTGGGAATTAGGTATTCGAAAATTTATCAACTTCAAAATTTGTTATTTTTATAGTTCAAATGTCATATAACGAAATACCTGTCTCCAGTTAATTCACATCCAAAAAACCTACATTGCATTAACATTCCTTCTATAACCAGATTGCCATTTTTCATATTAGAACCAGTATACCTACTCCACATCAGCTATTGCAGCACTCTACTAGGTACATTCCCCCAACCATTATTGCCGAAAATCAAACAAAATCCTCACACTTTTGAATTCGCAGATGATCAAAAAAGTCTCCGTAAGTATAATACGATACACATTGATATCGGAAGCCTAGGGGCGTTGGTATGTCCCTGGTTCCATGTCCGAGAGAGCATGTTTCCGCCTGATCGGTCACATACATTTTCGTTAAAACGCGTGTTCCATTCGTTTCATTAATTTTAATGCCCGCTGCGCATTCTGTTCATTTCTGCGCAACATATGAATATGGGATTCGCTGCTGTCCCTCTCCTCCATTTTCGCTTTGCACGAGCGAATAATGCGCGCGAAATTCGCGGTGGGGCACGTATACACACACTCACACACATAGATAAACACTCGCAACACTAACATATACAGGGTGTTTCACTAATTCTGTTACGAAGACGCATTTCCATTATGTCTGATGTCAGTTCGCAAAAATATCGATTGAGTAAGTTTAATTCGGAAAAATAAATATAAACTTTTTTTTAAGGACCATAAACTTTTGTTCAAGGTCACATGAAGATTTAAGGTTAAATGATGTTTTTTCAAATTACATACTTGTATGATGATGATGTAATAGCTGAGATTAACCTCTTCAAGTATATTTATACACACATGTTCAGTTTACTAAGTTATAAGTCAAAGGTTAAATATGTAGGTATTAGTTTTTCTATACATTTAACAGTTTTGTGTAAATTTTTTAAACATTTTTTTATATGTTACAGATTTAACAATTAATTTGAATCTTATATTGGTAACTATTTCATTTTATTAGTAATGTTGATTACATTGCACTTGTATATAATGTATACATATATTATTTACAAGTATATTATATTATACATATATTAGACAACTATATTATATACAACTACATTATGAACTAAACAACTATATTATATACAACTACATTATGAACTAAACAACTATATTATAAATTAAACAA